CCTTAACGCGTGCACAATCACTTGGACGGGAAGAAGTTGTATACTGGATACAACAACTTCTGGAACAAGCATTTGCCACGGCCCTCGCTCAGTAGGGCGGAGAAAGTAGAGAGAGTAGAGAAAGTATAAAAAAACTCACAATTTTTTTTGTGGTGTTGTACATTTTGGCACAAAACACCACTTTCTGTTCGACAATAATCTATCGTACCGGCTCTAACTACTCCAAACCGATTACTGGGGCGTTGTTGTCGCGCACAGGTACGTTTTCCAGCCTCGCGCCGATCCTTGATTTTGAAATGCTTTTAGGCAGCAGCGGTGGCCGCAGCAGTAGACTCTTCGGTCTCCTGATCAGTCTCCGTGCGCTGTACGGGTTCGAGTCCCGTCCCAGGAGAAATTTTTCTCTTGGCTATGGATGTTGTGATTGTCCGTCGGTGGTAGACGGTCTCTGACTGTCGAACGTGGAGGTACCACCCGGCGGATCTCGTAGGCGGAGCCAGAATGTGTGCATGTTGCATGCACACGTGTTCCCTTGCCGTGTGGCGTTCCCCCTTTCCCCTGTATCCCCCTATAGCCCCACGGTACCCAATGGGTGTTTAGGTCTTGGTAGTTGGAGTATAAAAAAGAAAGACGTAAATATCAATATTTTTTGCTCAATTTTTTTTATCGTTTTTTAATAACAAAATCTCTCGATTTGAGTAAAAATCCAAAAATGGCGAACCTTCCTATTTCCTGTAGGATACTTAATCTTTTAAGAAGTATTTTGCTTTATAGGATAGTCCTGACAATGTTCTTAGAGCAAAAATACAAAACAGTTTCAGGGCAAATGTCAGACGCATACAGAACAATTTTATACAATATTTAAGCTTACTGAACAAATTTGTTTTATAATAGATTGAAAGTGGTGTCGTTCGATAATTATAAAATTAATTTATTAATATTTTCTTTCTGATATTCGCAATCGCTAAAGCATATTACGTTGCCGACTTTCCAACTAAGACAAATATTTTATATTCTTCAACTTGCTGAAGGCGGTTAAATTAGGGATCCGTGTTAAAATTAAACAAATTTAAAGACATTCCAGAATTATCCCGAAAAATGCATGTCTTATTCGTTTTTATAAATATATTCATAAATGCTTTTATACCCTTACAAACATTTTTTTGTTTTATGGTAATTATATATGATAATTTTTAAGGTTCCATCTGAGTGCAATATGCTTTAACGAGCTATAATATCAGAAGGAAAATATTAATAAATGAATTTTATGAATGTTAGTGATCTTCGCAAACGAGTGAACTCGTATTAGATAATATCAGTATAAATCTGTTATGAAACATATTTATTTAGTAGGCTTAAATGTTATATAAAATTATTGTATAAATATTTACAAAACAGTATAAAAATTTGTCGTAAAACTGTTTTGTATTTTTGCAGGAACAGTTGAAAATTGTTATATATCCTTGGGAGTTGCGCACAAGCGTTGAAATGCACAATGTTGCCTTAATTTATGGACCTTTATCGGGTAACAAGATAGCAGTGCTATTTTCCTGTTTATTAAAATATGCCATCAAGCAGAAACGTTTTATAACAACTCTCAAGGTGGTCAAAAGTATTTTATAACATGGAAGCCATATTTTGTATTATTTCGACACTTACGAAGCCATTTTGAAGTGTATTTCAGAAATTTTTGCAAAGATAGAATGTCTTAATTTACTACTTTAGTGTTCATGGTATATATATGGTATATAAGATGGTTCACTTGAAGTGTTTTATTACAAGGCAGGCCAGAATAAGAAAAAATACAGTTCCCCCACTCTAACCTATGATTTTTAACCACTACAAAAGGTTTTCCGAAAATGATGACGTTTATAACGTCAAAGGACTAAGTTTGATTTTTTTTTCGCCTTTTTCTTCGCTATCATTGGACAGATTTTCAAGAAGCTTTTTCGGCCTTTGCATGATAGTAACCTTGTGTGAAAATTTTATCAAAATCCGAGCGGTAGTTCTCAAGCTAGACAGACAGACGTACAGACCGACGGAAATAAGTGACATGGTTTTTCGTGATGTACATAAAAATATTTTTATTTCCTTAGTATCTTCAATGAAATTCTCTAACTTATAAGCTATTTAAATTAAATATTAATAAAAATGTCATTTTCCCAAAATAATTGCTTTTATTTTAAAAGAAAGTCCGTTTATAATATATCTCAATAACAATAACCTTGATGGTGATAATTTCAGGTCTCAGTTTTACTGCCGAGTCGTTTTTCATTGCTTAATCGATAGATGCGCGGTTCGTTGTTCAGAAGCCACAGCTATAAATCCATTACGGCAGAAGCAATTGTAAAAACAACGTATTGGTTCATGCCGTCTCTAGAGTCGGGCATTTATTACCCCTGCTTTTTCCGTTGTTTTTTCTTGTGTACTCCAGCTGAAATAGAGTACACTAGAAGAAATGTTAGTTATCCTACAAGGATGATCCCAAACTAAGCTGTTGTCCGTCTAACCACAGACCATCAACCATCGACAGCTGTTTCATGCTTTTCGGCAACTGATCAGCCTGGTCTAGATTGGTCTCTGGGACAAAGAACGAAAGCATAGCAACTATCGTTCATCTGAGACAAAAGATCTATCAAAATAGGAAAGCTAAAAGTGCCATCTATTTCCAGAATCGACCAATGCAAGAGTGTTTGTCAGCAATCGGCAATCTTGAAAAATACATTAGGTCGTTTTTTACATAACGTAGGTTTTTCTACAAGATGTTAACTTAGCACTAGCTGATGGACACTTGTTGTACGTGTTGCCTAAACGTCCTGATGCTTCAGTTATTAATGTTTGGGTCTGAAGTGATGTAACATCTGCTTCACAGATCGCATTACTATAGTTTAAGCTGTAAGTTGTATACTGTGGCTGGAAGGAAACGGCAATGCATTGTGCATAGTGAGGATTTATGTGCTAATAATATGTGTTGATGATAATTCCATTGGTTCCTTGTCTCAAATATACTTGAGATTCAAAGCTAGAAATTAGTTGCGCATCCACTTTTTCTTATTCATTCTGGAAATTACATACGCAAATTTGATGAATTTCAAAAATGAAAGAGATAAGAAAAGAAAATCTCTGGTTGAGTGAGAAGTTATGTTACAGACAGGAATATTTATGAAAGTGAAAAAGTTATCACATTATTTTTTATTTCCAGTCATTTAAACTATATGGAAATTTATTTTGCGATGTCAATAGAAAATGCAAATCAGCGCCTGGATGTGAGGCGCTGCGAAAATGTCTAAAACGTGATGCTTCATTCCTAATTTTTCTGTGATGTCGCTTAATTTCACGGTGTCGATTTCCGTAATGCTACTCGAAGTTATTGAAAACGCAATAAGAAAACGGAAAAAATCGTAATTTATAACCTGTCTTCAGAAATGATAACATATACTAAGTGACATATAAATCCGAACACCCAGTTTAAATGGTTTTATTTTAAAAAAATTTGGTGAATGTATTTATCTTACTGTAAATAACAAGTGAAAAATTTTTCAGCCTTATCAGTTGGACATTCCGGTTTTTATACTGCTTTTTTTAATTCACTAACGCTCTAAAAATGAATATTTCAGCCGCAGTAAAGAATCAACGTTGGCGGATTTTGGTTCTTGGCATCCTTTACGATCGGTTACGATGCCTAGAGTACGGAGACCTGTACGATTTCGTCAACTTAGTGAGTTTGTTAGGGGTCGTATAGTGGGACTTCGGGAAGCTGGACTTTCTTTTCGGGCAATTGCAGTTAGAGTGCAAAGAAGTGTAGACACTGTGGTTAGGTGTTGTCAGGCATGGCTTCGAGAAGGCCGTACGCAAAGAGCAAGGGGCACTGGACGCCGCCGTAGAACAACAGACCGTGAAGATCGCCGCCTAAGATTATTGGCCTTAAGGGACCGTTTCTCCACTACCAGGTCCATTGCAAATGAATGGTTTGCAGAACACGGAAGACCTATTGGCATGCGAAGTGTTTACCGACGAATGACAAGTTTTGGCTTGTTTTCATACCAGCCACACTGGGTCCTCCCTTTAACTCGAGAACACCGACGTAATCGCCTTGAGTGGTGCAGACAATGGTCACTCTGGGATCAGGAATGGAACAGTATTGTCTTTAGTGACGAGTCTCGATTTTGTTTAGGCATGCACGATGGTCGTGCCAGGGTTAGAAGGCGACGTGGTGAAAGGAGGAATCCACAGTTTTTTGTTGAAAGACATGTTCATCACACTGTTGGAGTTATGGTTTGGGGTGCTATAGCTTATGGTTCCAGGTCTCCTTTAATCTTCATCAGAGGTAACATGAACGCGCAGCGTTATATCCACGAAGTTCTAGAACCCCATCTTTTACCCTATCTTGACACCCTGGCAGATCCAACTTTCCAACAAGATAATGCCCGACCACATGTTGCAAGAGTCACAATAGACTTCTTTCAACATAATGATGTCACATTGTTACCATGGCCACCAAGATCTCCCGACTTATCCCCAATTGAGCACGTGTGGGATATGATGGGTAGGAGATTGCTCAATTTGCAACGTCCTCCTCAGACTCTAGAAGCACTTCGAGAGGAGTTGGTGGTTGCCTGGAATGAGATACCACAGGAGGACATTGACCACCTGATCAGAAGCATGCCTAGGCGCGATGGAGAATGCGTAGCACATCAGGGTGCATCCACACATTATTAAAGGTCAAAGGGCTTTAAAGCAGTGCAATCATTTTGAAATTTTTATCATTTACTTATTATGCTTCATTAAGTACTTATACAAAATTTTATTAAAATAAAACCATTTAAACTGGGTGTTCGGATTTCTATGTTACTTAGTATATAAATACCTGGTTCGCTATAAGCGAAGTTCGTAATAAACGATAAATAGTGCTAATACCTGGAAATATTTTTCATTAGTTTATTATTCAACCAGGGGTATATAAAACGTTTGTAATAGTATATAATAATATCTATAATCCTCATTTATAAAAGTTTTTTAAAATCTTTCTTAAAAAAATCTGTGAAGTGAATATCATTAATATGTAATTCCACTTCATCTAGTCGATATAACACACGCTGCGGAGTATTTCGGGACTGAAGGAAATGACGAACGTTGTCAATATGTCGTAGTGCTTCTGATGTGGTTGGAGTTGGTATCAGTTCCATACCGACAGGTTCTTCATTTTTATTTTCCATTTCTTCGCCATCATCAGTATCAACTGCCGAAGATATATCAGCTACAATGGCATCATCATCCAGGTATTCGACAGTCACGACTTGGTCAACAATATGAACAAACTCGTTGAAATCGTATTCATTATAAGGAAGATTGGCTCTAATATTGTCTTGAAGATCGTCTTCCTGTTGAATTTTCGTCATCCACTCAACTAATGGCAGGTCATCGTCGGGATCAAAATGATCCTCAACCTCCAAGAAACCCCCATGCGTAAAACAATATAAAATTGTTTCTTTTGATACCTTCTGCCATGGCATATGAACGATGTTAATTGCATCCAAAAGATTGATCTATCTATCTATCAATAAAATCTACCATTCTCGAGAGAAGAACTTGACGAAATGGCTTTTTAAACTGTGGATTACACCCTGATCCATAGGCTGTAGTATAGAACCCGTATTTGGGGGCATGAACACTAGGTTAAGCATCTGGATGAGCTGGACAATTGTCCACTAATAATATAATTTTTCGTTTTTCGCGGCGCATCTCAACATCCCAATTACGCAGTTCAGCATCAAACATCTCTGAGGTCATCCATGCTCTTTTATTGGATTTGTAATTAACTGGCAACTGTGAAACGTTTTTAAAACATCATGGTTTCTCGATCTTCCAATTACCAATAGCTTTCTTTTTTCTGTCCCTGTTAGATTTGCCACTACAAGCACAGTGATTCCTTCTTTAGATAGCTTCCCACCCTCACACTTCTCTCGTTTGAATCTTAAGGTCCTGTCAGGTGTAAGCTTATAGAATAACCCAGTTCCATCTGCACTGAATATATCCTCGTCTTTGAAGTTCCTTCAAATGATTGGCCACTTGTTCCGCAAACAGTTATTCACACAGTCCATATCAACTGCAGCAGACTCTTCAATAATTTTTCCACTGGTAATGTTATGTCGTCTTTTGAATCTTTCGATCCAGCTTCTACTGAATTTAGGTTCTTCACTCAGTTCTTCATATTTCAATAACTCCTTCCCAAGGTCTTCAGCCTTCGATTGCAGTTAGCACCACTTATGGTTACTTTTTTATTTCTCTGTTGAGAGAACCATTTCAGAAGTCCCTGATCAACTTGATAACTCGTGGGCTTTTTAATTTTCTTCACATTTATGTTATCTAGAAGTATTTTATAGAAAAAATGAACAAAGTATAACCTTGTATGTACATGCAGCTAAAGACCACAGATGAAAAGGTTCGTTTTTTTAAATCAATATCTTAAAAACGGTGACACTTATATATACGTAAGTTTTTGTTATTTGGGAGGTCAATCCACAGCCTACCTTCTCCTTAAGTTTGTCGTGGTACTTATTGAACATCCTGTTTAAGCAACAATGCGCGTAGTTGAGTAATTCCTCCATAGATGGACGCTCACAGCGATGATGGCGATCAAACGTGGAATGAACTAATTGCACCCAAAAAACTACCTAGTCTGCAAGAGGACATTTCGTTGTTTTTTTTACGTTTTATAGGTTTTTTTACATAATAGCCGTGCAGGTGAGGATCGCCATAATTGAAGGGCGTGGGCCAATGAGGTAGCTAAGCCACATTGATTTTAATTCGAGAAATCTTAAGTTTTATGTCCTGAAATCCCGTTTATTGCTTAATTTCCAGGAGCCAGGGTTTAGTTTTAAACACGTGTTGAACATAAAAAGAAAAATAAAACAGGGTATTTCGAACAGTAGTAAAATAAGTTGAATATTTACTCGATGTTTGTTGGAAAATAGGCGTTCTGAAGTTTTATTTATTAAGCAAGCTTGATACAAACCGGCAAAGAGAAAAAATAGGTTTCAGTAGGTAACCTAGCACTGCTCCGGTTTCGATGGATAGACTTGATCTGGAACACATTTCGTCAATAGCAGCAGCTGCTGGTATAAAATTAGGCAATTTGTTTTGTTCTAAGAAGTACTTTTTCCCCCACACGACCTCATTACTCCTCCAGGCCCAGATAAGCCCTAGCCTCGAGCTTTTATCACATATTTGGGGTGCTGCAACTCCGACTACATTATCCATGCTTGATGCTGTTAAGCGGAGGGCTGTTCGACTGATCGATGAGTCTTCTCTACCGCTACACTAATGGGATTTGCTCCGCAGAGCTCTCCTGATTCCGCCGCTCGATGAGCCTGCCAAACAGACCGGCCTGACTTCGGCCTCCCATCCTAATCGTGTCAAACTTCGTACATCCAGAACAAGCCGATACGACCGATCATTTGTCCCTAAGATGTCGAGATTGCGGGACAATCTACGAGAGTAGGTTTTTCCTAGTTCTACCAACCTTAGGCAGTTCAAAATTCGGATTAACATAGTTTCTTTGGGTTCCTCATAGCAACCACGGTGCTCTGGCATTTAGGCTTCTGCCTGCGCGGTTGCTTCGGTGTAAAAAACCTCCCTCGGTGGACATGTTGATGATTTTTGGAAAAAAAAGATAATCTTTTTTAAATTACCTTTCTCACACCGACTAACAGTAAATATAGACCTATTTCCTCGGAAATTTGCTATGTCGCATGTCCCTCAATTAGGCTAGTAAATCTCCCAAAATGCTTTATATTATTTTTAGACGACTCTGAAGCCGCAACAATTGGCAACGTCGCATACGCAAGTTATCGTACCTATAAGTTGCGTAAACGCTCCATTCGTAATTCGAATGTGTCATTGTGAGTTATCATGTTGACGCATTCGAGTTTTCTTTATTTTTATGCGCAGATATTTTTCTTGAGACGAGGTCATTGTCGTCTGGACCAGTTAGGTGATAAATAAAGCTTCCGTCTTTAGTTGGGCACTTCGACAAAATTCAAACAATGAGGACTCTTTATACTTTATTAGTGTCTAGCTTTCAATGAACTATGCCATCATCAGCAGGAGCTGAAATAACATTAAGAAGAAATAGCAACTACTGTGCAAAATGATTTTAAATTACTTACAATAGTATGTGAGACTGTTGCTAAATGCTAAAGGTTAAGTTGAGGGGAACATTCAGTAACCTGGCTAAAGCTGGATACATGGTACAATCGTTAAAATTAGTATAAAATACACTCAGCTGTATGTCAGGAACACATCAGAACGGATTAAAATTATTTTGGAACGAAAGTTAAAATTATTACATGTTACATCGTGAAACAACCTGGTGCTGCACAAAATGGTGTGGCACAGGATCATAAGTAGATAGAATGAAACAATTGACAGATGATAGAAGGCTAATATATACGTATATATATATATACTGGATATCCGCAAAGTTGGGGTTTTTCTTTTCAGAAACAACTACCCTTGAAATAACAAAGGTAATGTGTAGTGAAACCAGGGCGACCAAGTAAAAAAAAATAAAGGAAAAAGTACTCACTCTCCAGTTGACGAGAAGGGCTAAGCACGTCTCTGCCCGAAATCATACCGCTCCAAAAGAAAATGAAATCAGCTGAAGCGCTACCGAGCAGACGCAGAAACCACATTGATTGTCTTACACTTAATGGCACATCTTCTAACAAGGAAGGCAAAATGTTGCATGAAAAGTCTAGGTATTGCATCCCGTCCAATCGATTTGGGAGAATAAATGGTCCAATGAGCATACCGTTCACCATGCCAGCCCAAACATTTACCGAAAATGTTTGTTGAAAATGACCAAACATGAGTGTTGCGAAAGTTATTCACCCCATTACGCGTGAACGTAGATTCGTCTGTCACCAATATGCACATCAAAAAGTCCGGAACACCACTATTCACTCACGCGTTACCGACTGACACATTGACTGAATAAAAACATCGTGATCAGCGTTTCAAATTCTTTTGCTTTTTTGTTTCCGATGCGATGAACCGATAAGGCGAATTATATACGTTGTTGCCAAACACGAGCACATAATATTATTATTGAGACAGGGCGGTACTCAAACTTCTAAAGGGCTATAACTTTGTTACTTTAATTTTACCACAAAAATGTTAAAGGAAAAAACGTTTCTTTTGATCAGATCTACTCACTGTTAAAATAAATGACTCAACTTCGAAGTCACCCTGTATATATATATATATATATCCCACTAAAGGCGGAAGCTTTATTTTTCACCTAACTGGTCTAGACTACAATTACCATATCTCAAGTTATATATATATATATTAGTATTGGGTGACACTGTTATTTTCAATAAAAAGGATCACCTCAATAGGCCAATTCAAATGTGAGCTGAAAAGCTACTTTATAAGTAACTGTTTTTATGCAATTAGCGACTTTGTCAGCTTTTAAATATCGTTTTTTATCACTAATTTTAACTTGTTTGTTGTTGGATGTTATTTGTTTGTTTTTTTTTTATTTATTTATTTACTTTGTACATATTTACTTATTGCATCTTTTTGACGAAACCTATACATGTTCATGCATGTCTAATGGAAAATAAATTCATTATTATTATTATTATTATTAATAAGATGCTGTCATACCAATCTATTCTATTCGAGTAGATAATAATAGTCAGTTGAGTCAAATGTATGACTCAAACTACGCCTATTTTCGGCTGCTACCATTTTGTTACTGGGACCTTCAAACTTTCCCCTTCTGTACACGCAATACAACATCAAACAAAATCGTGATACCTTCGATTTCTAAGGATAAAAACGTTTCATAAGAGGTATTTTTATATTTTCTATCAGCAATTTTTGCTAAAAGGGTTTGCGCGCCAATATCCGTCCCGTAACTGAGACCTGTTCAGGAGCGAGCTTTCGATTCGGATAGTCATTTGTTTACGAAATAAGAGTCGGCGAAACTTTTCACACCTATTCACGTTCATTTTTCTCGTCGGTATAAGTTTGAATCAACGGTAAGGGCGGACCCGTGAAACTGTTATTGGCCAAGGGAATTCCAAAGGATATTGGATTCCGGGAATCGATTCAAAGGATTTACGGAAAATTTCCACTCGTATCGGTGGTGCATGTTTGAATATATATTCCCTAAGGAAACACTGCTAGGTTGTGCATGCAAAAACTTGATTCGGAATTAGTATTGATAATGGAGGAAGGTGCGCGAACGTTGGTCATTGGCTCTGCATTCTCTAAACTTTAATATTACCAAGTGTAAATAGTAGCTCAGGTATCTACCACGCACAAAACAAGATGCTTTTTTCGATTTTCGAAATAGCAAAAAAGGCTTCCTTGCCACTTTGCCTTATACAATGAGGACCACATTTGTCTGTTGGCTTCAATGTGTACGAGAGCGTGT